GCTTGTGTGAGACCAAGGACAGGGCGCTGGGGTCGAGGTTGGAGACTGCGACGACCTCGCCAAGCTCCACCTCCTTCTGCTCAAGGAGGCTGAGGAGTCCCTGCAGTTTCCGCTCCAGGAGCAGGTTCTTGAACCCTGTCTTCTGCTGCACCTCATTAATGGCTTTGGTGAACTTCTGGTAGAGCTCATCTCGCTCTGCCTGGACCTGCTCCAGGAAACGGCACAGCACGGTGTCACACCACCCTCAGGAACTATGGGGCACTGAGGGGCCTGTAGGAGCCTGACTGGGGTCTGCTTAATGGTGTGGAGCACAAATGGGGCAGCAAACTGGTCTGGCAGCTCAGCCCAGCCATTCCCCATGGTGACTGCAGCCCACAGGGAAGGCAGGTGCTGAAGCACAGCATCTTCCCTCCATGGTGCAGCACCTGTGATTCTCCTTCCTCCTCCTCCTCCTCCTCCCCTCAAGGCAAGAGACGCCCCAACAGGCTCCCTCTGGCACTAATTCAGACCCCAGCAAGGGCCCCCCGGCAAAGGGGGGGTGGTCTCTCCTCTCCACAGCTGGCAGCAATCCCTGGCTCACAGCTAGTTAATAAGTGTCCTAATTAGGACACAGCCTCTCCTCCAAAGCCTATTTCTGAATGCTCCGAATCTGGCGCTGTCTTAATGATGGATTGTTAACGAGGCCTCAGATCAATGTTCATATTCCTGGGGATTTCTACGAATTGCAAATGAGCTCTCTCCTGCTTCAACAGATTTATCTGGGTTAGTGGGGGGGAGAACTCTCTCTGCAGGGCTCATCCTGAGCCACCCCGCCACAGTGAGCAGGGCAGTGACCCTGGAACGCTGTCAGGAGAGGCCCATGGCAATGCCCCCCCAGCTCTGCCCCATGCAGGCCCAGCAGCCCAGGGGGCCCGCCAGAGAGCACATGATTGCTTAGCAAAGTACAAGGCCAGGCCTGTCTGCTGACCGTGGGAGAGGCTGGAGCCGGGAGCACTTTGTTGGGAGCAGCCGTTATCGCCCGGCTTGGGATTAGCTTTGGAAAGCCCTCGGCTAAGCACAGGCTCTGCTAAGCCCTCACACCCTGTCCTCTGTAGAGGGTTTGAAGAGGTTTGGAGAGGGAATGAAACATCCAGCCCTGCCTGCAGCTCTCACCTTACTGAACCGCTGCTCCAGCACCTCATGTTCCCATTGAAGGTCCTTCAGTTCCTTCTGGGTGACTTTCAGACGGGCTTTGGAGTTCTGTGAGCAGGAAGGGAGCGTAAAGGAGCACGTGATTGTCTGGGAACTGTTGGGGATGTGTTCTGGGAAGGGAGGAGAGTGAGCAGCAGAGAAAACCAGGCAGCACCCACACCAATGTCTCTGCAGTGAGGGCTACTCTGATCTCTCTCTGGATCCCCATCTGAGATCCCACAAACACTCAGCTAAGCGGAATGGGACTCACTTTGCCCAGCAATCCCAGCACCCTGAGTGGCAGAGGCCACTGCTTTCCCTCCGGGAATGAGCCCAGGAAAAGACAAGGCTGGCCACGCACCATCAGGATCTCCTTGTCCTTATCATAGCGAGCCAACTTCTTCTGCAGCTCAGCCACCTGCTCCTGGGCCTGTTGCAGCGGCTCTGTCAGCTCCTTGTTCTGCAGCAGCACATCTGTCTTCTCCTTTTCCAAGACAATCTCCTTCTTTCTCATCTCCTCCACCTGCTCCTGTTCTTAGGAACACGAGTGCTGGCTCCTGAGAGCTGCCTAGCCTCTCAGAGACCCCTCCACCCTCAGGACACCCTCCCTGATCATGTGATCAGGGTGGTGTTCAGCCCACCAGCAGCACCCACATCAACACCTGGGAACTGCCAAATCCAGGTGACACCCTTGTGGGAGTGGTACCCGGGTGGAGAGGTAGCACAGGGATAGGCAGTACCTTCAGGAGGCTGATGAGTGACATGTTTTTGGCAGTGATATCGTTGTAGTAGTTCTTGATGTCACCAAAAGCCCCCTCGTGTTTCCCCATCAACTCGCTGATCTGGTTGTTCTTCCTCTCCTCCAGCTCATGGATCTCCGTCTTCCTCCTCAGGTCCATCTCCTCACGCAGGGCCTGCATCTTCCTGTTGTATTTGGCATCCATCTCTGGGGAGCACAGGGGGGCTGGGTGAGTGGGGCCTCCTGCAGACCCCATGCCCCAGCTCCTGTGCCACCACATCGGCATCAGGACCCTTGTGGGGTCCAGAGAGAGCTGAGCCCAGGAATTACATCCTTGGAAAGAGGGCATGGAAAAGCCCCAAGTGGGCCTGTCACAACCTGAAATGTCCCCCAAGGGGGACACTGGAGTGAGGACACAGCAAAGACACCTCCGGCCATCCCACCCCACAGAAGGGCTGGCACTGCCACAGCACAGGGGACGGGGGGGGAGAGGAAATGGCCAGAGCTGGGGGAAAACTGGGGAAGAAAAGTGACCAAAATGGGGAGGGGAGAAAAAACAGCCAGAGCTGCATGGCAAACTGGACAAATCTGGGAAGGAAATTGAACAGAACTGCCTGAGAAAAACAGCTGGAACTTGTATGGAAAACTGGCCAGAACTGAAAGGAAAGAACAGTCAGAACTAGGACAGAAAAAACTGCCAGAACTGGAGGGAACTCCAGCCCACATGCGCTCGAGGTGCTGCTCAGGAGCTCAGAGCAACCCTCCCCATCCTGCTCCTGCAGGTTCTGCCTCTCCCCTGACCTTTGGCCTGTGCCTCGAAGTCGCTGCGCAGCCGGGCCATCTCCTCCTCGTGTTTCTGCGAGAAATAGGCTCTATCTTAGAGGAAACAACCAAATCCTGGGTCAGCCCATCCCCAAGGATTCCCTCCTGCTCCCTGGGAAAGGATTCTGATCCCAATGTTGATAGCAAACAGTGGCTTGGAGGTTCTCCAGCTGCTCTCACAGTTCCCTGCTGCAGCAGAGGGGTCATCCAGCAATCCCTCCTCCCCATTCCTGCACCAGAAACCCCACCCCACAGAGCGAGCCAGGGAGGTAGGATCCTGCCCCTGCTCCCACCCTGGAGCTGAGGTGCCTCATAGGTGGCTCCAGCCTTGCCAGGGACGTACCAGGCTGAGGTTTGTCACCGCTGCCTCGTTGGCCAACTCCTGCTCCTTCAATTTGATGTTCAAGGAGCGCTTCTCTTTCCACAGTTCCTGCTCCTGGTCCCAGTGATCCTTCTGGGCCTGCTTCAGGGACAGGATTCCCTCTGCCTTCAGCTCTGTCAGGGTCTCCTGCTGCTCGTGCAACAGGTGCTTCACCTTCTGCTTGTACACCTAAGGACAGGCCAGAGACTGGGTGAAGGACTCAGCAGGAGACACCTGGAGCTGAGATGCTGGCAAGACATTCCTGGATTGCATCCTGCCCAGCTCCTCCTCCTCAGAGCTGCTCAAGGCTCACATGGAGCCCTTCTTCCCCACCTTGATCTCCACTTGGTGCCGCTCCTCTGCCTCCTCCATCTCTTGGTCCCGGTTCCTCAGCTCCGCTTTCTTCTCCTCCAGCTCCCGGCGGGTGATGTCCCAGCAGCTCTGAATCCTGTTACACTCCAGCTGGAAAGAATTACGCTCCTGCCGCTCCCGGTCCAGCTCCTCCCGGAGACGCTGGACGTGCTGCAGCAGCTGCACAGCCGAGAGGAAGAGACAGGTAAGGCAGAGGGGAGGCCTTGGACATGTGCCTTTGGAGACTCCATGTCCCAAACCTGGCAGGACACGGTGGTTGTCACTGGGATGGAGTAGGGGAGGTCCCTGACTGAACCCAACAGCCTCTGGAAAAGGAGTCACAAAACCTCATCCCACTGCCAGCAGCCTGGAACAGGGTTCTGGCTTGCAGTATTCAGTAACACCATTCTCAGGTGCTTAAATACTCCTGGATCGTGGAATTGTTTGAGTTGGAAAAGCCTCTGAGATCAAGCCCAACCATTCCCCCAGCACTGCCAAGGCCACCACTAATCCATGTACCCAAGTACCATATCTACATGACTCTTAAATCCCTCCAGGGATGGGGACTCCACCACAGCACTGGACACCTGTCCAGGTCCGGACAGCCCTTTCCATGAAGAATTTTTCCCAGTATTCAACCTAAACCTCCCGTGGCACAACTTGAAGCTATTTCCTCTGGTCCTGTCCCTTGTTCCCCAGGAGCACAGCCTGACCTCCACCTGGCTCCACTCTCCTGTCAGGGAGTTGCAGAGAGACAAAAGTCCCCCCTGAGCCTCCTTTTCTTCATGAGCCCCCCCAGCTCCCTCAGCTGTTCCTGATGCTCCAGACCCTTCCCCAGCTCTGTTCCCTTTCCTGGATATGCTTCAGCCCCTCTTTCTTGCCGTGAGTGGCCCAGAACTGACCCCAGGACTGGATGTGCCTCAGCAGTGCCCAGCACACAGGGCTGGAGAGCAGAGGGTGGGATGAGGTGGCTGCTCTTTCCAGGAACAGCAAGAACGCTCCTCCCCAGCCCAGACAGGCGTCAGGCAGTGACACAAACCCCGGCTGCTTGTCTCTGTCACCCTCTGCCACCTGTTGTCCCCAGACCCAGGCCAGGTGCCACACAGGGGTCCCGAGAGCAGTTCTTGGTGGCCTAGGGGATCTCTCACCTGCTCCTTGCTCATGTCCTCCAGATCCAAGGCATCCACCACCGCCGGACCCTTCCCTTTAGTCGATCCTTTCTTTTTGGGTGCCTGAGGACAGGAAGCCAAACGCAGGAGGTGAATGGGTGAGCAGGAAGCCGTGCTGCTCCGGTCCACCATGCCGGCCCCGGAGCATCCCTGCTCTCACGGCAGGGACGGGGCCAGAGCGGTGTCACGGAGCCGGGGGCCCCAGAAGGAGCCTGGAAGCCTCCGGGACCCCCCGGAACTCCCGTGGCTCATGTGTCACCGCTGCCGGCTTAGGTCCACAAAACTCCTGTACCGAAAGTACAGCTCAGGAGCGTCACCGCAGCGCTGGGAACGGCGTCGAGGGGCTCCGTACCCTCCCCGTGAGCGGAGCGGGCCGAAGCCCCCAGCCCTCGGGGCTCGGGCCATGCCCGACCGGGACAGACCGGGCCCCACTGCTCTCCCTTGTCCGCATCCCCAGCTCCAGGGGACCCTTCAGCAGCCGCTCTCGTTCCTCCCCCCGGCCCCAGCCCGGCCCCGCTCTCACCATGGCGGCGGCCGCCGGCGCCGCGGTCTCCCGGCAACGGTCGGGAAGATCTCGCGAGAGGAAAGTGAAATCTCGCGGGAGGTGCGCTGCGGGATACGCCCCCTAGCAACGCCACGCTCCGCCCTGGCAACGGGGGCGGGGCCGGCGGGGGATCCAGGGCGGGATCGAGGGGACACCGGGGGAAAGCGGGGGAGTTCGGGGGGATCAGGGGGACCGGGCGGATCGGGGGGATCCCGCTGTGCTCGGCACAGCCCCGTCCATCCCCGCGCCCACCTCCGCGACCGGGCTGCCCCCGCGGCTGGGGTCCCCCGGCTCCGCTCCCGCATCTCCGGGATTCCCGCGGCACCCCTGGTCCCCTGTGCCCCCCGTTCTCCCCGGTCCCTCCCGCGCCCTCCCCCGTCCCCCTCGTGCCTCCCGCCCATCCCGGTGTCCCCGCCCATCCCGGTGTCCCCGCCCCCGCCGCGGCGGACAGGACCGTGCGGGCTGCGGGCTGGCATCGGGCCCGCCCCGCCCAGCACCGGACACCCGGACCCGGACCCGGCCCATGGCGGCTCCGGCAGCGGCCGCCACCGCAGGTGAGGGCGGGGTCCCTGGGGGGCGGCACGAACCGGAGCTCCCATCTCCGTGGAACCGGGCCGGGCCCCGCGGGGAGCGCGGGGGGGGCACAAGGAGATGTAGGGCGGGAGTGCAAGAGGGAGAGTGCAAGGGGAGGAGGTGCTGGGGGGCTGCACTGGGGGGGCATAGGGGAGCGTGGGGCCGTGCTGCGGCTGCCCGGCTGCAGGGGAGGGCTGGGTGAGACACGAGGGATCTGTGCATGAAGAGTCTGGGATGGGGGGGGGAGCAGAGGGGTACTCAGAATACAGGGTGCTGTCCAGGGGGTCTGAGGGAGCACTGGACCGCCCTGGGGACATGGGAGGCACTAGGATGCTTACAGGATGTGAGGGTGCAGTGAGGTGCCCGTGGGTAGAGTGGGGTGCCCAGGAGGTGTGGTAGAGTGTCCAGGTCAGATGGAGTAGTGGGGTGCACTGGGGACCTGGGGTTGCAATGGAGTGCCCAGGTAATGTGGGGGGACAGTGGGATGCCAAGGGTGTAGAGGAGCAGTGGGGAGCCCAGGGGGTGTGGGGGTGCAGTGGGGTGCTCACAGGACTTGGGGGTGCAGTAGAGTGCTCCAGAACATGGGGGAACAGTGGGGCACCCAGGGGACATGGGCAGCAGTGTGGTGCCTGCCAGACACCCTGCACAGCTGTGCCAGTGCCTATGTGCAGAGGTGCTTGGGGACAGGGAGGTGGCCGTGCTGGTGGAGCTGTGGGAGCCTCGGTGTTTCAGGGGAGGCTGCACCTGGTGACAGAGGCGGTGCCAGGGCTCCCCTGCACGCCTGTCCCTCCCGCCTGTGCCCTGCACATGGCTGTGCTGTGGCATGGGGCAGCTCCGGCCGTGGCACTGGGGGCACCAGGCCCTTGGGAAAACAGTGCCACCGAGATGTGCTGCAGGTTCTGTGGGGTGCCCGGTGCCATGGGGTGCTAGTACCGGTGGCTGCCCAGCTCTGCGGTTGCCGTGAGTCAGCACACGGCATGCGGGAGAGATCCCTGATCTGGCCTCGCTCCTGCCAGGCAGCCGGTGAGCCCAGGCTGGAGTGAGTGCTGTGGCCGGTGGCACGGCCGGTGGCACGGCGGGACCATGCAGGCAGAGGCCAGAGGGGAATTCTGCGGCCGGGACCAGCGCCCTGGTGGGTGGGGGTGTAATGGGGATCGGGGGAGCTGGGCACCGCATGGGTTGGGGTGGTGGGAGCGGGCAGGAGCGGGCAGCCCCTGTTTGCCCCCCGGGGGCAGTCTTCCCAGCCCTGGGGCGGGGTGGGGACCCAGTTTACCAGCTGGAGACAAGGTGCTGGCAGTGTGGGGTGCGCAGTCTCACCCTGGAGGTCATGATGTGGCAGAGCTGGTGTCAGAGCAGGGGTCTGTTGTCCTGCCAGTCTCCCACAGCTCCATGTGCCAGGAGCAGGAACCCAACACCCCATAACATCCCTTTTCCTGTCGGGTTGGGGGGCTCTGTCCCTGCCCCACTGTCAGAATCCTGGGAGAGGGAGGCAATGCCTGTCCCTGTGCCATGTCACCTTGCAGCATGACCGGTGGTAGCATGGCCCAATGGTGGCACATGGTGCCAGGGCACCAGCACTGACCTCGGAGGGAGACAGGGGACAGGGTAGTGTGCCCCTGGTGCTGCCCTGAGCACACAGGCTCCTCCTGCCTTCCTGAGTACCCACTCAGCCCCGAGGCACAACTGTGCCATCACCTTGTGCCACAACCAAGGGCTGTGCTACCAGTGTGCCATGACCCTGTGCCATGACCATGTGCCATGGCCACGGCCGCCTTGTCCCCACTGGCTCTTCCTGGGGATGATCCCAGCACAATCCACCCTTGTCGGGCCCCGGCACAGGCCGCCCTTTGTCTCGCCGACACAAAGGGGCTGCACGAGGAAGGGGCGTGGGGCGGGGAGTGGGGGCTGCCAGCTGCCGGTACGAGAGTCCTGGGAAGCTCTGCCTGTCCCCCCAGCCCTCCCGGGGGTCCCACTCCCCCTGGCCCCTCAGCCAGGCACTCCACGGGGGCCCCCGAGGGAGCTGCTGTCACATCACCAACGTGGCAGGTGCTGGTGTGGCAGAGCTCAGCAAGGAGACACTGGCCGTGGAGCGCCCGGCGGGGACCCCCACCCATGGGCCAACCCAGGAGGCCCCTCGAGTTCCCCCAGAAGAGCAGGGTGGCATCCCTATCCCCAGTGCTGGGCTGCTGCAGGTCACCGAGCGTCGACGTGAGTGTGGCCCTGTGCGGGATCCCTGCTTGTCCCCAGAGCCAATGCTGTCCCTGACACCCTCTGCCAGTCCCTGGGGTCTCTGCCAGTCCCTGGGGTCTCTGCCAGTCCCTGAGGTCCTTGCCTGTCCCTGGGGTCTCTGCCTGCCCCTGGTTCCCTGCCTGTCCACAGCACTCCCTGCCTGCTCCCGAGGTCTCCTGCCTGTCTCTGGCATCCTTTGCCAGCCCCTGGGCTCTCCTGCCTGCCCCTCAGGTCCCCTGCCTGTCTCTGTGGTCTCTGCCAGCCCCTGGGGTCCCCTGCTAACCCCCAGCCAGTCGTGGCTCCCACCAAGCCCCTCACCCCCCTAGCTCCCTGGGCCCCTGAGCACCAGACCCCCGACCCCTTCATCCCCCGCCCACCCCGTGGGCGACAGTGGTGGGTCTTCAGCCCCTCCCGGTGCCTGCAGAGCCCCTGAGCAGCGTGTCCTCGTTGGAGGTGCACTTCGACCTGCTGGACCTGACAGAGCTGACGGACATGTCGGACCAGGAGCTGGCCGAGGTCTTCGCCGACTCCGACGAGGAGAACGCGGCCGGAGAGACTCCTGGCGGTGAGCGGGGGGCCCGGGGCCGCCGGTCCCGCTCTGTCCGCCGGTGCCGGCCCGTCTCTGACCGCCCGCTCGCCCCGTCCGTCCCGCAGGGCTGCAGCCGCCGCCGGTGCCGCGGGCCGGGTACCTGCGCTCGCCCTCCTGGACCCGCGCGCGGGAGCAGGGCCGGGACAAGAAGCACCTGAGTGACCCTGAGCTGCCGCCGGGACCCCCGGACGCCTTCCTGCCCGCCGAGCGCCCGCGGGAGCCGTAGGGACAGGACCTCCCGGGGGACACCGGGACACACCGGTGCTGCTCCCGTCGGTACCGATGGAGCCCGTCCCCGGGCGCAGGACTCCCGTTAGCCCGCCCGGAGGGCAGAGGCGACCCCAACCCCGCGGCGGGAGGCACTGGGGCCGCCCACAGCCGGTGACCCGCGGCTTCGGGGGGAACCGGTCCGGCCCCGCCGAGCCTCGGGGACGGCACGGCTCCGGTTGCCGGGAGCGGCGGGTGAGGCAGGACGGGACGGGTCGAACGGCCCAGCCCGGCCCGGCGGAGCGCGGCCGGTGCCGGTGCCCTCCCGGTTCTGATGTAGCAGCGCTGTGATCCGGTAAAACTGACCGACCGACACACCGCCGGCCTCTGCCCGTCTGCGCCGTCGCTGGGGGGCAAACGGGAGGGGTTGGGGTCACGGGAGACACCGAGAGGGAAGGGGGTTGGCCGGTACCGAGGCAGCGCGGCCGCAGCCCCTCCTGGTGAGCGACAGACCGGCGGAGACCGCGGCACATCCCCGATAACGCCACACAACGCAACTCCACCCCACCGGGCGGCGCTGGACCGGGGACCGGCCCGGTGCGGGGTCGGTCCCGGTGTTCGCCCCGCCCCGCGGGAGCCTCAGCCCCCCCGCTGCCCCCCGCCGCCGGTCCGAAGCAGGAACACGAATGCTGGGTTGCGCAAAGAGGCTCGTTAATGCTACAGGAAACACTGGGAGGGAAGGGGGGGACACCGGCCCCGCGCCACGGCCGGTCCCCCCCTCACCCCAACCTCCTCGGGGCTCGGCCCCGTTAACGGCGGTGCTGGGGGGAGATCGGATCCTGGTAGTGTGTGTGTGTGGGCTCGGTCTGGCCTCGGGGCTGAGCCCTCCTAGCAGCACCCACTGCCCCGCGACAACGGAGCACCGGTCCCTGCCTGCACCCCATCCCCGCCTGCACCCCGGTTCTATGCAGGGACGGCAGGAGCCGCTGTGGCGCCTTAACCGGATCCCAGTTAACGACATCCCGGCTCCTCCGGCAGGGTTCCCCATGTTCCCAGGGACGGCCAGGGTCCAGCTGTGCCCCCTAGCAGCACTGCCGTTCCCACAGGCAGAGGGTCCCATAGTCAGGGCCACCCCAGTACCCAAACCGGCATGGGGATGATTGCGTCTGTCCCAGGGCCTGTGGTGGGTGGGGAACAGCTGTGGGACTGAGTCCTTCCATGGAGTCAAACCCTCCTCAGGGCTCTCCCTCCGTGACAGAGTCTTGGAACAGGGATTGCTTCCGCAGGCTCAGCCGGGCACACCGGGGGCAGGTGGTGGAATTGTCATAGTAGCAGTCCCTGGAGGGGAGTGGACAGTGTTGTGTCACCCCCATGCCACCCCCGTGTCCCCACATTCCACCCTGGTGTGTCAGTACCTGTGGAACACGGCAGAGCAGTCAGCACAGACCGAGGTGTGGCTGTCGAAGGGGAAAAGCACATCACCCTCCCGGCACAGCTCACACACGAATCCCTTGGCCTGGCAGCGCTGGGGGAGCAGGAGACAATGGTGACCCCACCAGCCCCACGGGCATCTCCCCCTGGCTCTGCCCCATGGTCCTGCCCCACGGCATGGGCTCACCTCGCAGTCCAGCTTGATGTGCTTGGCAAAGAGTGTGTGGATCTCAGTGAGGGAGCAGCCCAGGCGCCCGGCCTCAATGTCAATCAGGTCCTGCAGCGAGTACATCTCGTCGTTCTCCACAAAGTGCTGCCGGTCCTGCAGCTGCAGGGGACAGATCACTGTGACTATCACCGCTGTGTGACTGTCACTGATGCACCTGGCCCTGGCCCCCTGTGGCTCCCAGCACCCCTGGGCCAGACCTGCAGCAGCAGCCGCGCCTCCATTGCCTCCTTGCAGGTGATGAAGTAGGGCTTCATCAGCAGGATGTCCTGGCGCAGCTTCTGCAGGGCAGGGGACGGGATGGGGTAGGATGGGAATGGGATGGAAATGGGGACAGGAATGGAGATGGGTGGGGACAGGGATGGGACAAGGACAGGAAAAGGGTGGCAGCAGGAGCAGGATGGGGACAGGACAAGGATGAGATGGGGATGGTGTGGGAATGGGACATGATGGAAATGGGGATTGGGACAGGAGTGGGATGACAATGGGGACAGGAATGGGAACAGGAATGAGGACAGGGATGGGATGGGAATGGGGACAGAGATGGCAACAGGAATGAGGACAGGGATGGGACAAGAATAGGACCAAGACAGGGAAAAGAGCAGTGGCAGGGGGAGGATGAGGATGGGGACAGGGTTGGGAATGCAATGGGGACAGGATGGAGATAGGAGCATGACAAGGACAAGACCAGATTGGGTCAAGTTCATCCCTGTAGCAGTCTGGGCATCCTCTGCCCCAAACCCCCACCTCACCTTGCTGTCCCTCTGTGGGACCCAGTGGGAGCCACCAGGGTCCCCCCACCTCCTGCTCACCCCACACTTCCTCCACAGTGTCATCCCCACTCCTGTGGGGTATCCCCTGCCCCTTGGGGTGCCCCCTTGGATCCAGCACTCACCCGGATCTCCACCAGCTCCTCCACGTAGTTGAACAGCAGTGGGTTGATCTCCCGCAGCTTCAGCACTGGCCGTGACACCATCAGTGCCAGGTACCTCATACTGCACCGTGACACCTGCCACCGCCACCGGGGCACCGTCACCCCCGGCACCTGCCAGCCCTGCCACCACCACGCCAGGGACCCCCAACAGGGACCCATTGCAGGGACACAGCCCTGAGGACAAGCCCAACCCCAGTGATCTCTACCCAGGGACCCCCATAGTCAGGACATGTCCCCATGACCAGGGATGTGGCTCCCCACGTGACCTCTACCAAGGGACATGGCCCTCAGGGATCTCCATGAAAAGGCACATAGCCCCCCACGTCACCTCTACCCATGGATGCAGCTCCCAGGAACTCCCAGGACACCACCAGGGACGTGGCCCCCCAAGTGACTACTACCCAGAGCCATGGCCCCCAGGGATCCCCATGACCCCCTGGGGTGCCCCCACCCTGTTCCAGGGGCACCTTGCGGGGTTCGAAGTCCCAGTTGTGGATGGCACGGGCAGGCACCACAGCCAGGTCATTCCAGTGGCAGCTGGAGCAGTAGTAGAGGCCAGTGTAGTCGCACTGTCGGGCCTCGCTGGGCACCCCCCCTGTGGTGGCATGGGGCTGGCACGGGGCTGGCACCAGCACTGCCCTGCTCCCTGCTTGCCCCACACCATGTGTGCCCCTGGGACACCCACCAGCACCCGGGGACATGGTAGGGGTATAAGGTCACCCTCCCCAGCTCCCCATGGCTCCCAGCACCCCATAGCCCTCAGAGCCCCCACTTTCAGCTTCCCCCAGCCCCACACACCTTCCACCCCACAGCCCCTCAGCCCCAGGCAGCCCTGGCCCCCCTCTCCCCACAGAACCCCAAAGGGAGCCCAGCCCCACACAACTCCTGCTCCCCCCAGCCCCACACAGCTTCACAATCCCTCAGCCCTACACAGCTCCATGAAGCCCCTAGCCCTACACATCCCCCAGCCCCACAGAGCCCCCAGTTCCCCTCAGCCCCCACCCCGAGTCCCCAGTTCCCCTCAACCCTTCAGCCCGCCCAGCTCAACACAACCCCCAGCCCCATAGAACCCCCAGCTCCCCCCAGGCCCACAGAGCCCCCAGCTCATTCCAGCCCCCCCCAGCTCTCTCCAATCCCACACACTCCCCAGCCCCACAGAGCCCCCAGCCTGCCCCATCTCCTCAGCTCTCCCCAGCCCCATCCAGCCCCCAGCCCCCCAGCCCCTCTGGCAGTGCGGGGGCTCACGGAGGGAGATGGGGGCGCGGCACTCGGCACAGCGGTAGTCCTGGCTGTCCAGCCCACTCTCGGGGCAGATGCTGAGCTGGTACTCGGCGCGGTGGCTCACCTGGGCCCGCACGCACGGCCGGCTCACCAGCGGCAGGCACTTGCTGTGGCACCGGTAGTAGCAGCCTGGGAGGATGCATGGGAGGATGTCAGTGTAAGGATAGGGGGGACAGGGACACAGAGGGGGTGTCCCAAACCCACCTGTGCAGGTGTACCAGGTCTGGATGAGCCCCCAGATGATGGTGCTGCACTTGTCACACATCTGCTTGACACTCTTACTCTTCTCCTTGTAGAAGCGATGTTCCAGGACCACCCGGATGTTGGGCTCGTCCTCACCGGGGTCCTGCAGGAGGGAAAGGAGAAGGCAGAGAATCACAGAATTGTGGAATGGTTTGGGTTGGAAGGGACCTCAAAGCCCATCCAGGACCCCTCCTGCCATGAGCAGGGACACTTTCCCCTAGACCAGGTTGCTCCAAGCCCCATTCAACCTGACCTGGAGCACTTCCCAGGATAAGGTGGTCAGCATGACCCCCCCAGCAATGGAGACCCCCCATGGGCCTGGTCCCAGTCCCACCTTCAGCTCCTGCAGCTTGAGGCGGAGGTGGATGAGCCGGACCACGGCGTCCTTCTGCCGCTCTGAGTGCTCAGGCAGTGCCAGGATTACCCGCTTGCACTCCTCGATGGCCCGGCGCAGCTGCGGCACGTCTGACGCCAGGATCAGCCCCTGCGGCCACCACCAGAGGAGGAGGAGGGTGAACTGAGCCCCTCAAACCCTCCTCATCCCCACAGTGCCCACCACACTCACCACAGGGCGGGAGAAGTGGTCCTCGGCCAGCCCCAGGTCCAGGGCGCCCTCAGGGTCGCCTGGGGTGGGATCCGGCTGCTGGGCTGCAAAGTGGGGTACCATGGGGGGGCTGAACATACCCGTGGAATAGGGGGATACCATGGTGGGGCTGGGCCCCGCTGCCCACCCCGGTGAGTCAGCACCCACCTGGGACAGGGGATTCTCCATCGGGGCGCTCCGGTTGCTCAGGGGTCTTGTTGAAGGGGTTAAGGTGGGCCTGGCGGAAGCGGGCCAGCCGCTCGTCTGACGCCATTGTCACTGTCCTGCTGGGGGACAGTGTCGGGGTGACATTGGCATCAGCCCCCCACTTCAGCCAGCCCCCACCAGCACTGGCACGAACATTGTCACTGATACCCCGACACTGACACCCCAATACCATCACCAACACTCTGTCACAGGCACTTGCACCCTATCACCAGTACCCACAGCATGGCACCATTACAATCACCCCATCACAGGCACTGATACTGCCTCAATGGCACCAACACTGTCACCAACACCCTGGCACTGGCAGTGATACCCCGGCACTGGAACCAACACACCGTCATGGGCACCGACGCCCCGTCACCAGCACCAACATACTGTCATCAGTGCCGTCACTGATACCCCAGCACCGACATCTCCTCACCGGCACTGACACCCAGCGATACCCCGGCACTGGCACGGCACCGGCACCGACACCCTGTCACCAGCACTGACACCCCAGGACCGGCACCGACACACCGCTCCTGGCACCGACACCCCGTCCCCGCGGACAGACCCGTTCCTCCCCCTCCCACGCCCGTGCCCCCGCCCTGCCCCGCCGCCACCGCCCGCCTCGGCCCACGGTCACCCTGCACCCGCCCCGTCCCTGGCCCCCGCGGTCCCTGCTGTCTCTCGCTGTCCTCTCGCTGTCCTCTCGCTGTCCCCGCGCTGTCCCCGCGCTGTCCCCGCGCTGTCCCCCTGCCCCGCCCCCCCGCGCCCCGCGGAGCCCCCGCGCGGCCCCGCCCGCCCGCCAGGGGCAGCGCCCCTTCCCGCTCACCGCGCGCGCCGCCGCGCCTGCCCGCGCGCCCCGCCCCGCCTCGATCGCCCCGCCCCGCCGTGGCCACGCCCACGGGGCGCCCTCGCCCACCGATGGCTCCGCCCCGCCGCGCCGCTGCCCCTGCTGGCCGGCGGACCGGGCGGGGCCGCGCCGGACCCGCGCTGTGCCCACCCCGACAGCCCCACCCGCACGGCGACATCCGCGCTGTGCCCACCCCCACAGCCCCCACCCGCACGGCGACACCCGCACTGTGCCTGTCCCCACAGGCCCTCCCTCACGGCGACATCCGCACTGTGCCTGTCCCCACAGGCCCCTCCCTCACGGCGACATCCGCACGGCGACACCCGCGCTGTGCCCATCCCCACAGTGACACCTGCACTGTCCCTCACTGGACCCAGCCTCCCACTCCCCAGCCCTACAGGACCTAGCACCACTCTTCCCATCCCTACAGCGACATCTGCACTGTCCCCATCCCTACAACCTTCAGCCCCACTGTACCCATCCCTACAGCTAACAGCCCCACAGTCCCCAGCCCCATCATCCCTTGTCCCTACAGCATCTATTCTCAGAGCCCCTTGTCCCTGTAGCCCCCAACCCCATCATCTGGTGGTCCCCAGAGCCAGGGGGCTCAGGTCTGGGGGTGGCCTGGATCTCTCACAGCTAGGCACACACCCAGCCCTGTGGGAGCACCCTGGGGTCTATGCCCCCACCTCAGCTTGGGGGACAAAGGTCCAACTCTGTCCTGGCACAGGGAGGCAGCTGCCACACTCCACCCCCTCCCATCATGGAGAAAGGTGACAATGAGGACAAAGGCACTCTCCACCTCAGTGGCACCTGCACCCTCAGATCTTGGGGGTTTGAACCTGTGGGGCAGGAGGGTGGGGGACAGTGCACAACCAGGGGTTGCTCATGGTCTAACAAAGGGGCCAGGGGCATTGTCACGGTTTAGGTATGGGGGGTTCCCCAATCACCCCCCTTGAGTGGGAATGGTTGGGGTGACTGAGCAGTGGGAGTGTCCCCTGTTCCCCCTCCCAGAAGCACAGACAGGTAGTACCTGGACAGCAATAAATTTATTAAGTATTCAAAAAAAATAATAGACACGAACCAGTAAAAAACGAAAAGGGGGAAGGCGGGAGAGAGGGGTGGGGAGCCGAGCTGGCTCAGGGGGGCAAGTGGTTAAGAGACACTGAGGGGACGGCAGGGGGAGCACCACCCGGGGGGTTCAGCAGCGCGAAGCCGGGGGGGCCATGGGCAGCGTCGGGGGGCGGCGTCAGGCATCACTTGGCGCCCTGCGCCTCTGACTCCTCCTCGTCGTCCTCGTACATCTCACCCTCCTCCTCAGCTGTGGCGTCCTGGTACTGCTGGTACTCAGACACCAGGTCATTCATGTTGCTCTCGGCCTCGGTGAACTCCATCTCGTCCATGCCCTCACCTGTGTACCAGTGCAGGAAGGCTTTGCGGCGGAACATGGCTGTGAACTGCTCTGAGATGCGCTTGAAGAGCTCCTGGATGGCTGTGCTGTTCCCTATGAAGGTGGAGGACATCTTCAGCCCCCGCGGTGGGATGTCACACACGGCCACCTTGACATTGTTGGGGATCCACTCTACAAAGTAGGAGCTGTTCTTGCTCTGGATGGCCAACATCTGTTCATCCACCTCCTTCATGGACATGCGGCCGCGGAAGACAGTGGCCACGGTGAGGTAGCGGCCATGGCGGGGGTCGCAGGCGGCCATCATGTTCTTGGCATCGAACATCTGCTGGGTGAGCTCGGGCACAGTAAGGGCACGGTATTGCTGGCTGCCACGTGCTGTCAGTGGGGCGAAGCCTGGCATGAAGAAGTGGAGCCGCGGGAAGGGCACCATGTTGACGGCCAGCTTGCGGAGGTCAGCGTTGAGCTGGCCAGGGAAGCGCAGGGAGGTTGTGACACCGCTCATGGTGGCTGAAACGAGGTGGTTGAGGTCACCGTAGGTGGGGGTGGCCAGTTTGAGGGTGCGGAAGCAGATGTCGTAGAGTGCCTCGTTGTCAATGCAGTAGGTCTCATCGGTGTTCTCCACCAGCTGGTGGATGGAGAGTGTGGCGTTGTAGGGCTCCACCACCGTGTCTGACACCTTGGGGGACGGCACCACACTGAAGGTGTTCATGATGCGGTCGGGGTACTCCTCCCGCACCTTGCTGATGAGCAGGGTGCCCATGCCCGAGCCCGTGCCCCCACCCAGTGAGTGGGTCAGCTGGAAGCCCTGCAGGCAGTCGCAGTTCTCGCACTCCTTCCGCACCACATCCAGCACGGAGTCCACCAGCTCAGCCCCTTCTGTGTAGTGCCCCTTTGCCCAGTTGTTCCCGGCACCGCTCTGCCCTGGGAAAAGAGGCTCTGATTGCCATTGGCTCTCCACACCCTCGCCAGAGGGCACCGGGGAGGGGATCCAGGCTGGGACTGGGCGCTGCCGCCGGCAGCACCGGGGAGATCTGACGCCGGGGCGGGGTGGGAAGCAGGAACTGCAGAGGTTTGGCGGCATGCCGGAGGTGCCGGGCCCCGCGGCGCGGGAGGGGAGCGCCTGCTGAGTGCCCTGGGGAGGACGACAGGTCGGGCGGGGCCGCGGACGCAGGGGAATGGAGGGGACAAGGGGGGCGGTGTCCTCCTCCCTCCTCAGGGACCTACCAAAGATGAAGTTGTCGGGGCGGAAGAGGTGGCCGAAGGCGCCCGAGCGCACGCTGTCCATCGTCCCCGGCTCCAGGTCCACCAGGATGGCGCGAGGCACGTACTTGTGAGCTGAGAGAGACTCCGTGAAGGGAGGGCACCTGCCCCCACCCCACCCCCACCCCGGGGTGTCTTCCACCACCCTGCGAGGTCCCACGGGGCTGGGCACACAGATTGTGTCCCCCCCCCCCACATCACAGTGTTTCATGGAGTGGGGTCATGTCTCAAGCACTGCCCAAATCATGGGGTCACATGGGGTGGGTGCACATGTCTGCTCCCGGCCCCCCGGGGTGGGTGCACGTGTCATGTCATGTCTCCCTCTACACCACAGGGTCCTACAAGGTGGGTGCAAGTGTCAGTCTCCCCCCAAACCACAGGGTCCCATGGGACTGTGTGTACATGTTATGCCCCCTCCCAAACCACAGGGTCCCATGGGGCTGGCTGTACATGTGCCCTCTGTCCCTGCCAAACCACAGGGTCTGACGAGGTGGGTGTGCACCAGGGTCTCACAGGGCTGGGGTGAAGGTGTTGTGTGTGTCTTTCTGTGCAAAGCACAGGGTCTAATGGGGTGGGTGTACATGTTGTGCCCCTCCCAAACCACCAGGTTCCATGGAACTGAGTGCACATAATTCCCCCGCCACCCCCAACCCTGCAAACCACAGAGTTTCATGGGGTGGGTGCCCCTCTAGACCCCATGGGGTGGATACATCTATCTGCTCCCCCTCCCTGCCCCAACAGTCTCAGTTCCTGCTGCACTGGGGGGTCAGACTGGGGTGGCCCCCCGCAGCCCAGGGTGGGGGTTCCGGGCCACCCTTCCCGGGGGGCGGGGAAAGGGGGAGGGGAGTAGCTTACAAGAGGCTTCATTGTAGTAGACACTGATGCGCTCGAGCTGCAGGTCCGAGTCCCCCACGTAGTTTCCACTGGGGTCGATGCCGTGTTCGTCGCTGATCACCTCCCAGAACTGGGGGGGACAGGGGGCTCAGCAGGGTGGTGTACACTGAGACACCCCCAAAACCCTGGGCGAGGCAGGGAACAGCGGGATCCCTCCTATCCCTGGCCAGGACTGGGCAGAACAGGGGGCACAGGGACGCTGCAAACACCCAAATCCTCGGGCAGGGCGTGGTAGGGGCACTGGGACCCCCCAAACCCCGGTCGAGGCTCAGCGGGGCAGGGGACACCGGGGTTCCCCAAACCCTGGTCAGGGTGTGGCAGGGGCACTGAGACCCCCAAACCCCAGCCAAGACAGGGTAGGAGGGACACCAGCACGTCCCAAACCCCGGGAGGGGCTCAGCAGGTCGAGTGGCATCGGGAAACCCCAACCCCCGGTCAGGGTGGGGCAGAGGCACCAGGACCCCCCAAATCCCGGTCGGGACTCAGTAGGGAGAGGGGCATCGGGACCCCCCAAGCTCCGGGCGGGGCGCGGCTCCAGGCGGGCGCTGTCCGCGGTGCTGACGGACAAAGGCGGGGGCGGGGGCTCGGGAGGGGCGGGGCGCTTTGTCCTCCCGGTGCGGCGGGAGTGGGGGGAGGGTAGGGAAGGGGAGGGCGAGCCGGTCTTTGTCCGCCGCCCGGCTCCGCCGCGGCGGGCGGGGCGGGGCGGCGCCGCCGTTACCTTGGCGCCGATCTGGTTGCCGCATTGCCCCGCCTGGATATGGACGATCTCCCTCATGGTGCGGCCGGGCCGGAGTGGAGCGGGCTGGGAGCGGGCTGGGGCCGGGAGCGGAGCGGCACCGGAGCGGAGCGGCACCGGGAGCGCGGGGGGCGGACCCGCCGCCGCCGCCGCCTTTATAGGCGCCCGCCGCCGCACCGGGCCGGCCGCTGACGTCACCGCCGCCCTCAGCCAATCAGCGGCCTCCGCCGCAGCGCTGCAACAACCCTGCGGCACCGACACCGCCCGGGCCGCCCCGCCCGGCCACGCCCGCGGCCACGCCCACGGCCACGCCCTGCCGCGGAGGAGCGGAGACCCCCGGCACCCGCGGGGGGCACGGCCGGGGGGCACCCCCTCCACCCACCGGGAGCGGGGACACCTCGGGA